AACCCAGTCCAATACCAACTCCTCAAAACCACTATCTAGGGTGCATGAGTAGCTCAACTGTGATCGAACATGGCAAATGACTAGCTAGCTTCACTGAAAAAATTTCACGCTCAAAATCTCCCCAAAAGGCTCTTTTTATTGAACAATATGTTCAAAATTATTAGTGTTATTCCAAAAAGGCTTGCACTCTAACCTACTGAAGTTATTCTGATCACTATGCCCCCTTTATCGAGCACAAGATACACAAGGTTGCAGCAAAAATCTGCAAGTCCCACACGGCCGGGTGGTATTTCCGCAACTGTAACCAAAGGGTTCTTCACTTCTCAGTGGTGATACTGAGATATTTTTTTTGGCTTCCGCAGCAAAGCTTCCAACTAGTTCAGGCCATACAAATTTATGTCCTGTAAGAAATCAAGAAATCCACACTTAAAAGTTTGTAAATATTCTGTCAACATTTCAGTTCTAATGTCGCTAAAGAAAATCTTATGTAACATGAAAGAAGGAGAAAAAATTTCAAAATGGTCCGATTAGAATAGGTTAATGGTTCGATCCTTTTCAATGTGAAAAAAAAACCCTTCTACTGTATAATTTTCTCATAATTTATTTATTTATCTTTTAATTGAGGAAATGCACAGCATACTAAGATACGCTAGTAGGGTAAAACATACATCGCTCAATGCAAAACATTTTCTTCTTCTTAAAATGTAGTATTTAATGTAATATGAATACAATTGGCTGCTTAAAATATAGGAGGAGTTCATTCTCACAACAAACGAGATTTTTACACTCGTTAAATTCCAAAGGAAAAAAAAGTAAAAAGAATTCAAAAGGAAAAAAAGTAAAAGAAATTTAACAAATGTCAAAACTTCATTTGTTGTTGTGAGGATAAGTTCCTCCTCGATTTTAAGAAGCCAAGTTTTATCCGTTATATATAATGCATGCTATTTTATTAAATAAAGCTACAAAACCAATTGTAGGAAGGAAATAAACCTGTAAATAGAATTAGCAAAAGAAAATAACTGTTATCAAAACCTCCCACGTTTTGGGATAAATATGTTATGAAATTACATGTGAAAAGTAAGAAAATAAAGAAAATTATTTCGTCTACTGCACTGTGCACATGTGTATTTGTATATTAAAAGAAACAGGGGCGGAGCTGAAAGAGTCCCTTTCTCGTTTATTGTGAGGAGGAGAGTAAACACGTCTAGGGTTTGCCTTCTAGTCCAGCGACAGCCATTAGGGTTTGTTTAGTTTCTGTTACCTGCCTTCATATACGCTTCCATGGCCTCGCTTGTCTTGTTCTCTCTGTGGCGATTGGATATAGGCTCAAGCGATCACTAGGGTTTCGGACTAGGAACATGCTAACACATAAATCTTGCCTTAACAGTTATAATGTAAGACAAATATTTTTTTAAATAAAAAACCTGGGATTCGGGTGTGTTTAGAAGGTAACCCCCGTTGAGGACGTGGATTCCTCGAAATTTTTTACCAAGGATGGGGGCGGGGAAGGGAACAGGGATGGATAACGAGGGCTGGGATGGTATTGCAATACCCGGTAGTGAATCGGCCCTTTGACAGCCCTGTCGTAGCCTATCTAAAGAATTATTATTAATTATAATATCAAAATATGTGATTCAAAATGAAATTGACAAAACATAAATGGTAAATTTCAGAAATTACACTAACACCCATTCCGTTATTTTTACACTTAGTTTTCACACTAACGTACATGAGGTTTGAACTTGTATTCACAAAACCCATTCAAGTAATTTTACACCTAAAAATTGTTCGTATCATAAATAAAAATTTCTCCAAATAAACCATAAAGATTGCACACTCCTAAGATAGACTTGACTTGGACTAAGTCATGTCCTAGATTTGGTAGGGTGTTGGACTAGGAGCTGGAGCACCATCCTATGTATGGATGGTGGAAACATGACTATAATTCTAAGCTATGGAAATAATTCTAAACTATTAAAATCATTATTCCCCAAATATTACCCCCTCCCCCTCCCTAGCTATTGACCAAAAAAAAAAACATTTTCACAAATTAATTAATTGCACTAATTATAAACTAATATATAGATCCAAATCAAAGTAATTAACTTGAATCATATTCCATGAATCACTTGTTTATGCATAATCAACTTTAACAACATCACAAAAATAGGGGCAGTCCTGAGGGTGTGCAAGTGGTGCCACTGCACAGGGATACTGTTTGCCCGTTCTTGGTTTACTCCTATGATGGAAGGGCAAAGTTCCCCACTGCCTTGAGAACCATAAACTGGTCAACAAGTCAGCTTTCTTTGGTGTGCGAGCGTGCCACTGCTAGCAAAATTTCTAGCAGACTTGGTTTGGAATGGATAACTTGCGTCCCAAGTTACTGATTTCTGCAAACAAACGATTGTGAATTTGGGTGAGGAATATCTCCCAAGTAAGTTCTTTTCCTGCCTCAGACTGGTGAGGACTTTAACAATTTATCTCAGTATAAGGAGGTTGCCTTGGCCAGAATGGTTTGATGGGATTTAAATTGTTCTTTAGGCGGAACTGCCTTTTACAAAAA